TGTTCTCAAACTTTTAAGCACAAAGAAAAGTTCAAAGCATAATGCAATAGGTATCTGTATACATTCCAACTAAATTAAATAATTATTAATATTTGAAAAACGCTTATTAAGTTATACATACTTAATGTAGTATATTGTAGTGGCAGATGTATTATATTCAGATGTTGAATTATAATAATGCAATTTATGATGCACACACTTAGACCTAATCTCAACATTCCTCCCAAATGCCCCACCTCCAAATCCCATTTTACTGAGGATCAGGGCTTTAACATATGGCTTTTAAGGGATAAAGAGACATTCAGTCCATAGTAGGTTGCTTCCACCTTTTGGCTGTTGTGAATAATATCATTATTATCATTAACACGGGTGCACAAATATCTCTTTGAGATCCTGTGTTCAGGATACTTTGGTTTATATACCCTGAAGTAGAATTTTTGGATTATATGGTACTTTCATTTTTATTTTCTAAGGAATTGCCATACTGTTTTCCAAAATACCTACAATATTGAGCATACCCACGAACAGCGCACAAGTGTTCCAATTTCTCCTTATCAATGCTTGTTATTTTCTGTGTTGATGGCCATCCTAATAGGAGTGAGCTGGTATCTCATGGTTTTGATTTGCATTTCCCTAATGACTAGTGATGTTGGACACTATTCCATGTACTTACTGGCTCTATACCTTCTTTAGAGAAATAGCTAGTCACATAACGATACTGTGATTTATCATAGAAATACGTATGTATGTGTGTGTGTGTGTGTGTGTGTATCTTCCTTTCGTTCCTGGCATACAAACTGTAAAACTTGTAAATTCCTAAGTGATAAGAGCATGAGCAGCACTTTTTGTGCTGTCGTATTTTAGATCTTGTTTTTTTTTTTTTTTAAAGATTTATTTATTTATTCATACAGAACTGGGGTACAGGCCAGAGGCTCAGGGGCGGTGAGAGGCTTCACCAGAGACAGAATGGGGAGCAGAACAGGCAGATCGACGAAGTACACTGCTGAGGGAAGCAGCGGGCGGGCCAGGAGAGGTCTGGCTCGCCATGTGGTCTCCTCCGGGACAGGCAGCAGGCGGGAATCGAACTCATGCAGAAGTGGCTTCAGATTCTCAGTGCTGCGCTTTAACCCGCTGCGCCACCAGGGAGGGCCAGATCTTGTTTTTTAATGGTTTCAGATCCCAGTCTAGTATCTTTGACTCTAGTACTGACACAGGACTCCTGTCTAATTTCCTGGGTGATGGGCGTGTCTTTTGTTGTAAGGAAGCAACTCTATGTAGGCTCCTGGGTGGGGGCTGGTTACCAGAAGGACTAAGCCACAATTATAAGCTTGGCATTTTCAGTCACCCATATCTCTTATTCTTACTCCACTATCATTGTATTTCCATTCAAACTGTTTTATTTTTCTTTTAGAACGCCTCACTACCTAAAATTACATTAATTCATTGTTTACAGGTACGCATATTTCCAGAATCCCTAGTCCCACTAGAAGATAAATTCCATAAAGATGGGGACTTTGTTCTCCACTGTGCCCCTTCTGCCAAGCATATAGTTTCCTGAAGAATGAATAAATAGATGATTTTATTTTCATTCAAAAAGGGGAGTTTAACATTTCAGCACTAAAAGAAATGGTGTCATCAAATGAATGGAGGCTGAAAATTGCATGTAACTCTACAAGCAGTAACAATAGCTAAGACTCATTAAAGTGCTCTTTACGTGCCAGGAATTTCCAAGTCCTGGAACCACATACTTCTGGGGGTGCACGCCAACCTTGCTCTCTTCTTACATTCTGCAAACCTCTTTGTGTTCCGGGAGCCTCCTCTCTAGCCACAGTCGATTGCATTTGGAGGGACTGCTGGCGGAGAAAAGCCCATCTGTTAGCCAGAGGGAAGCAATCTGATTCTTTTTCTTAAAAATTTGTACTGAGTGATGTGCACACTAAAGAAGTTTGAAGATGAAGATGAGTCATGTTAATGGCAGGACATTTTTGAGTGAAGGCAACAGCTGTTGAGATTCTTGAAGCTGCACTGTTATCTGCCCAGATTTCTGAACTCTGTTGTTCACTGTTTTTTTAGCTTAATGACATGAATTACCCTGCTATCCTCTCAGTAAACTCCATTACCTGATTTTTAAAAATCTAATATGGGTAAATATCCTTGTTGTGTAGATTATTTATTTTCCTATAAACAAAAAAGCAAACCATCTCAAGGAAATTCTGCTTTACTTAGTTCTTGCAACACTATGGGAAGGTCGTACTGGTCCATTTTGCAGAGAAGGAAACAGGACTTGAACAAGTCCAAAACCTTCCCTAAAAGCACAGAGCAGCAAAGTTTCCAGCCCTGGCCCGGGTGAGTCCAGAGAGGAGCTTGGACCTGTGTTTGCAAGAAGGGGAGAGGGACTGTTACAGAGATGAGGTCAGGAAGACAGGGCAAAAATTTTTCACCCTGTAGAATAAATTAGAAAATGGCACTAATAGCAGCAGTGAGACAAAGAACAGATTTCATTCTGTATTGGGAGAAGAGTCAGCAAATTTCTTTAACATTTCAACAATTGTTGGCAGAGACAGGTTTATACCAACACAGAGTGTCTGCATGATTAACACTTTCTCTCTTCCTATTGACAGGGTTGACAGTTTTTAAAGAATGATGGGATACTTTTTATAGCAATATTAAAGGCAGAGTCTTAATGATATATATTCAGAGATGACATATAGTTGAATGTCACAGGGTTTATATTTCTTGTCATGCTTGAAAACTCCCCCATTCTTGCATATCTAGAGAAGCTTTGCTGAAGATGGTCTGGCTTAAGTGAGGTTACACTACAGAATTCCAGTGTCCTTTCTTGGGGAGTGGTAAATGGAGGGGAGGAAAAGGAATTGATGTAGAATTTGAAAAGAGTAATCAATAAAACAAAAGGTCTATGATTAAAAATCACATAGAATTTGCCTATAAGACATCCTTGCTGTAACAGAAAGAACTAGAATAACTTGTTTTCTCCAATGGAACAGACTATTTTTCAAGACTTTAGGAAATAATGTGCTTGAGCAATAAATGGTAAGCTTCAGCTGTTTCATAAACATCGAATGACTTACTTGGAAACATTAATGTGCACACCAGACACAATTTTGCTCCTTTGGTAATAATTTAAGCAATGTTTTAAAACGCAAGATAAGAAACTTTAATGACTTGTTTTTCAAATTTTATTGATTTGCCAATCATTTATGTAAGGATTATTTTATAAAAGAAGAGAACAATAAAATATTATTAAGAAAAAGATATTTGTCTTTTTTCTGTGGTGTTGAAAGAATATGAACAGACAAAAATAAAATAATAGTATTTATTTAGGGGGGAAGGTGTGTCTTAGACTTGCAAAGCAGGGAGTATCATTTCAACTTGGGTTCCACTTGGGTCTTTGTTTAAGAGGATTTAAAAGGAAACGATGTGGACAAGAATAGCAGCACTGCAAAAACTTGCATTGTTGTAAATTCAGTTTTTTTGCAGTTCATTGACTTTTAGTGGCTTTGGTAACTCTGGAGGGAAGATAAAGAAAAAGTAATTCTCTTTGCACAGTTCTTAGAAAAGGTCATGCCCCGCTGGAACTGGGGTCTGGCCAGTTAGTAAAATTTTGGTTTTTTTAAGTTAAAAGTTCAGTTACTTTTCAGCAAGACGGAATTAATTCAGTCAACCTGAACATTTTTTGTCACAGACGGTAATAACAGTTTAGGAAGCAAAACATTGATACAGTGAAGAAACTGGTCCTTCCAGTGCCACAAGACCTACCCCTCACCTCATGTCTTGGCATTCCCTGCTGTCTCTGTGGCCTGGGCAGGCAGATGCAGCCAGCAAAGTGCAACGTCTGCCTGCCAACTGGTGTCTATTGGTTTGCAAGCTAAAGTCAAATCACATCATGATGTGAAGTGGGCACAGGTCACCTGTATTAGGGGACACTCAGGAGGGAGAGGAAAACCGGAACTGCCAGATGTTTAATACCATGGTTCCCTATGGAGAGGGTCAAAGATTTCCTCTTGTTTTTTTTTTTTTTTTAAATGTATTTATGCATACAGACTGGGGTACAGGCCAGAGGTAGGGGGGTGAAAAGATTCACCAGAGACAGATTAGGGAGCAGAACAGGTAGACTGACTGAAATACACTGCTGAGGGGAGCAGCAGGCAGGTCAGGAGAGGTCTGTGGAGCCATGTGCGTCAGCGCCCTGGCCAGGGATGGGGAGTGAGCACGTGCTACAGTGGAGGCGATAGTTTCATAGTTCTGTGCATCACCAGGGAGGGCCAAGTTTCAGATATTTTATTTAAATTATTAATCAATTTGACGCTAATTTTTTTTTTTTTAAAAACGGTGTTAGGTAGGGAACCAGTTCCATTTTTTGCGTGTTAATATCCAATCTTTCCAACACTATTTATTGAGACGACAACCCTTTCTCCATTGGGTATTTCGACCTTCTTGTCAAAGATTAGTATGAACAAAATGTATTTTTTACTGTGATTAGAAAACTTTGGAAGTCAGTGGGGATGTGGAGGAGATTCTCTAAAAGACAGATTACATTTGGAAATAATGCAAAAGAGAGTACAGTATGTTCTTTCAAAGTCAAACCAGAGCAAAGTCTGTGTCTCAGGCTTGGGGTTATAAGCGTGGGGTCACAAAGACCTGAACTGCCTGAATCAAGGACAAATGTAACGGTATCTGAGGGTCCGTTAAATTGCATTTTAAAAGAATTCGGAGAATCAAAACAATACGCAATCCCGCCTCCAGACGGGCCAATCATCCCCTCTTGGTCTTTTGATTGGCCAGTGCCACGCAAACGCTCTGGACAAGACATGCTTATTTTTAACATTGATTGGCATGATAAGGAATTCATCTATGCCCAGAGATTGGCTGACCTGTGTAGGCTCTGGCCAATCCGGAGAGGGGCGGGCTGGTTAAGCGTCAGGTTTCCAGGAGCTACCTTCCTGAGATGTACCGGTCAGCCTAGAAACTGGCTCCTTCTCTTCGGCCCTAATTCTGTGTCTGATGGAGCTTTCCTACCAGACCCTCAAAGTCACGCACCAGGCGCGGGAAGCGGTAAGAAAAGCGTATACAAGAAAGAATTGTATAGGGAACTCCTCTCACCTCGCAGCTGCAGGCCGATTCGCGCGTCTGGGGTTGCTCCGGCGACAGAGCCTCGCCGAGCGGCGCAAGCGCAATGAGGGTCCTGAGCACCCTTCCCGGGCCGGTCCATTCCCAGGCTGGTCTGGAGGGATGCATGCGGGGAGGGTGCGTCAGTTTGAGCGAATTTGGGAAGACGTCAGAATGGGCTGTTTTGAGGCTGGAATCTCAGATCTGGGAGTTAAAATACTGGTTCTTAGCCTAATTAGCCTGACCTTAGAAATGTAATTTCGCTCTCGGGCTTCAGTTCCCCATTTGAAAGAAAGGTAATTGGACTAGAATCCTTTTCCCGGGAAGATTACATTCTCTGTAATACATACTGTGATTTCCGGTTGTCTGTGTTATCTGCTGACTGGTCGGTGTTTTCACAATGAACCTGAATTAAGGAAGGACATACTATGTGCCAGACATTGGAGAAATAAAAGCTATCTTTTAGGAAAAAGAAAATAGACTAAAATAAAGATAGGTGGACCCCACTTTCAGAGAGTCTGATTTGCTTGTTTGAGCTGGATCTTGCATCAGTATTTTTTAAAGTCTCAACAGGTGATTGCAATGTGTAGCCAAGGTTATGAACCACCTCTTTAGGGTCAAAAACCTCATAATTCAAATTAATAAATTTTTTAAAAAGCCCTCTTTTTGAATTTACAATTCCCTTTATCAACCCCTCGATTTCTCTCCGACTTCTGGAAAGATGTGGCTATACTTGCCGTTGCTACTGGGTTGTATTTTTACCCACTCCAATGTGAGCCTGGACAACATGCCTCAAAAGCTTTGGGTTGACTTTTCATAAAGCAAATTTCTGGAGCTCACCAAGACTTCATTGAATCAGAAACTGTCTGGGATGGGTCTAGAAACTTGCATGGTGAGCACACATTCCAGGTTGGAAAACCACTGACCTAGATGTAAATTTGTTAAGTGAACTCAAGGAGCTTCAGTTCATCAGACCCAGCAGTTGACGGTAGTAAAGAGTTTCATTACTTGAACTAAGTAAGGAGACAGATGATTCTCAAAGTACTTTCTCCTTTCTAAAGGATTTGTATAGGACAATTGGTATTTGTAAAGGACAGGGAATGGGGTGGAATGTCTGGAATCTTGGTTGTGCAAGTGCAAGGTAAATTCATGATCACATCATACTTCTGCATGGATTGCATGTTTACACAAAATGGTGCCTCAATGCTTCCTTGGGTGGAGATTTTACTATACAAATGGATGTCATTTTAATGCACCAAAGGTTTTATTTTAGATCACTGAGGGTCCCTTCTTCCCTTTTTGCTTTGAATTTAATCAGTCAGAATGTATATGTAAACTTTAAGCAGTTTTTAATAACTGCAAGGGTTATTCTGATAATGCAATGTCTACTTTATCAGTCTCCTGGGTAATGATTTCATAGACATAAATATAAAACAATCAATGAATATATGATTGATAGCTAAAGGAAAAACCTATTTTATAGTCAAGTTTGTCATACATGTGTTTATTAAATTTAGTAGTCTTTAAAATTTATTTAAGCTTCAAAGCAAATATACTATTATATATATTTTTTCAGTGTTTTTCCTCCCCACTCTCTCTTAGAGAGAGTGCCTCCTATCTCCCTCTGAATCCTGGAACCCTCACAGTGTTTATTGATGTCCACAGGTTTTTGTGTTTATGGAATCATCTGTAAATGTCCAGTATTTGTTTTATCATCCTGGCTTGCTTTACTGCATGTGATTCTGTCAAATTCCTTCCATTTTGTTTAAAATGACTGTATTTAATCTTTCCTTATGGCTGTATAGTATTCCCTAGTATGGCTATATCACATCTTGATTCAGCCACCTGCTGATGGACATTTAAGGCTCTTCCATGTCCTAGCTATTATAAATAATGCTGCAGTGAACACAGTAGAATGTGTGTATGTGTGTGTGTGTGTTCTTGTTTTTTAGGGTTTGAGTGTGCTGCTCTTGGTCAGCCTGCTTCCCACACTTGATAAAGTGCCCTGCTTGATGCAATGAGTAGACCTCACACATCAGGTTGTTATAACTGACTATTTCTTTGTTGGTCCCTTCCTGCTCACCACCAGTAGACTTTATGCTCCTTGAAGGCAAGGACATTGGCAAACGTCTTTTCTGACTAATAAACTGACCATGCCTTTACCAAGCTTCTCTGTCTTTACAAATTGAATACCTGGGATGTTTTGACAATTCAGATTCTGTTGTAGGATGGGGTGTGTATCCCCAACTCCATGTCATACATTGATGTTGGTGGTGCTCCTGGGGTAGCAAAAACCTGGGAGTGGAGAAATTTTTTCTACTTAATTTTAAATTTAGTGTTTAATTAAAATAAGATTTTTTCCAATTTGTAAACCTCTGCCACTTGCTTTTTTACAACTTGAATGTAAGATCCTCTAAGATGTGCTAAGGGTAAGGAAGCTCTGAGGAGCCATTGCTTCCGTGTTTTTAATTTGACCATGTAATTAAATACAAGAATAATTGGTACAATGCACAAGGATGGTTTTTGGCAGGCCATAATTGATCTCTATATTCATGTGTACACATAAAATGATCTTGAAATAGGTTACTGTTACTTAATCTCATGTGTTATTCTATGTACTTTTTGAAAGTTGTTACTTTGCTTAAATGAAACTTCTTTATTAAAAATATCCACTATACGTGTTAGCCAATTAATGAGTTGACTAGGTTTTAAAATGTGTGTTGTTAAGTGCCTTAGCTTTTATTAATTGCAAGAGCCCCTAAAAAAAAAATCAGACTAATTGAAAATTTAATTACACCAATGTTTTTCTTCAAAGACTAAGGCTTATTAAACTTTAAATGTTCAAACATTTAAGCATCTATTGAAATACCAATAGCTATAAACAATGTGTACTTCTAAATACTAATTAAACAAACTCTAAATCACAATAAAGCTAAGCTGAATTTTAAGTAACTCTTATGTTTTAAGTGCTCTGCTCTTGCCCAAGGAAGATTAACCACTTCGCTGCTGACCACGGCCGCAGCCTTGTGGGCATCTTTTTAAAAACTGTGGCTGCTCTTCAACCACAGTCTTGTCCCTGGATCCAGAAAGGGAGAGTGACTTGAGAACCTGGGACTGGAACAGCTCACTAGTGTCACAGTGCTGTTCATGGAGGCTTCTTTTTTTAAACCACAAGAATACGAGAATATACAGATATGAACTTATATTTTATGTTTTGCCAAAATCATTATTTTGGGCCCTCCCTGTTAGTGCAGCAGGTTAAAGCTCAGCACTGTGAAGCTATCTGCAGCCATTGCACCACGAGTTCGATCCCTGGCCAGGGAGGTGACCCACATGTGTGGCAGACCTCTCCTGACCCGCCTTCTGCTCCCCTTAGCAGTGCATGTCAATAGATCTGCCTGTTCTGCTCCCGTCTCTGTCTTTGGTGAATCCTCTCACCCCAGCACCTCTGGCTTATACCCCAGTTCTTGTATGCATAAATAAATAAATCTTAAATATTTTTTCTTTTAAAATATTAGATGGTTTTACTTATAGGAGGAATAGAGGGTAGCCAAACAAAAGGTCAGGAGGAAATTAAAGGATGTCGGGTCAGAACAGGGGAGGGATGAGCACAAGGGACTGTGGTGATGGTTCTTGATGCTGTGGTTGTGGGAGATACGTGGGGATTACATCTAAGGACAGAAATCAAATATTAGACAAAAAGGAAGAAAATAAAATACACAGATGAAGAAGATAAAACAACACAAAATTTCTTTCTTTTTGTAAATTAACATTTATTGAGCTTTTTTTTTTTAAGATTTAATTATTTATGCATACAAGAGCAGGCCAGAGGTGCGGTGGGGAGAGGATTCACTAGAGACACAGAGGGGAGCAGAACTGGCGGATCTACTGAAATACACTGCTAAGGGGAGCAGCTGTGGGTCAGGAGAGATCTGCCACCCATATGGGTCACCTCCCTGGCTGGGGATTGAATTCATGGTGCAGTGGCTATGGTTAGTGCTACGCTTTAACCCCTTGCACCACCAGGGAAGGCCCCTAAGTTTTATTTTTATTTATTTTTTAAACATCCTTATTTTTTCACAATATGGGGTTTCTCCCCTCAAGTGGAAGGCTTCATTTTTTAAATGGAAAATGTATAAATCTTAGTGTTGTAAACACTAAGAAAGTTCATCTTCTTTTCTGCTTTCAACTGAGATAAAGAAACTGGTACCAGACTTCTGCTTTTTGCAGCTAAGGAGACTGGACTGAGGCTGTGCAGCCACCGTTTTCAGGCACAGGGCAGTGTCTTGAGAGAAGCCATACCCAGGACCGCAAGGGAGGGAGTGCAGAGGCAGAGGAGAGCAGTGTTGCTGAGGTGGAGAGACAGCCGGAATTTGGGAAGACTCTGGAGGTTAGACTGGGGTGAACGAGGACTACAGGTGAGGGGACGACACAAATTGCTCCATAATGCTGCATTGGGACAGAGTATGCAATGGAGTCTTTTTTCCTGTGGAAGGCACATATCTTGGATTTGAAAGGGCTTTCATTTCTGACTAGGATAGAGTCCTTATTAACACAGAGACTGTTGGGATGACAATGCCCCCCTGAACATCACTGGCGGTGTATTGCAGAGTAGAACGTTCACGAATTTTTCTGCTGAATTGTTGCTATCGTTACCAATAGAACTCCTGGCTGCAAATTTCCATAAGTGGAGCCTCTCTACAAAGAGTTTTCCGATGAGCGAAAAGTTGTTTTATGTTCCTGTGCAGGGAAAAGCCCTGTGTGCGTGTGTCTTCCCTGTTTTGTGTCTTTACCTTTGTTGAGAACATGCGCTCTGGTCACCAGTGTGGAGCTTTGCTCCCGCCAGGCAGTCCCCAGCAACACAGTGGGTCTCCTACAATCAAACTTAATTCTGGCACTCTCCACCAAGTGATGGCTTCAGATCCCACAGGTTTATACAACTGCTC